ATTATACACACACATATACACCTATATGGCTATATATATAAATAATATATGTACTATGTATTTATTATATAATATATATAGGTATTAGGTATATATTGTACAGATATTCGCAAAACTGCCGCGCTGTCGCTCGAAGTTTCGCCGATGGCGCATCGGCGGCGGGCTGATTTGTAATCGTATAATAAGAGTATGCTCTCTTATATTATATATTGATTTGTGACCCGATTCAGTGGCCGGTGTTATGACAAAAGGAATGTGTTCGCCAAGAGCAAATCGACCGGGTCGAAAGTGGATCCGACGACGCGTAACGACGGCGATAATATTATCGTTTTTAATTAGATTAAAAAGAAAAATAATAACGATAAAAGAATGAAAAAAAAATATAAAAACGCGCGCAAAACAATAATAATAGCGATCGATAATAATAATAAGATCGGTGAAACCGTTCGATATATAATATACGCTTGCACATGCGTGTGAGCGTGTGTGTGTGTGTGTGTCGTCTCTTGGAGAATCTGCTTTCGCCGCACACGAGTCGTTATAATTCGCTTGACCGTTTAATCGATCCAATTTTGGACACTGCTACGACGGCGACCGCGAAGAATTTCACTTTGCATAGAAAGTAGACGTTAAAAAAATAATAATAAAATAATCAAACAAAAATTGGATTGACGAAACGTTGGCGGCGACACGGTAATCTTAAAATAATTATCATTTTTTTTTTTTTAACATTTCTCACGTGGGTTTAATATTATTGTTGTTGTTTAGACTGCAGTGGCCGAGTGCGTTAATAATACTAGATCGACGACTCGGTATCCGTGGTATATATCGTATAATATTATAATGTTTATGTATAATATATAACGATATTATTACAAACCGACAGCAGAGACAATCGCGCGCACTTCAGTCGTCGGCGTCGTCGGAGATTAATGAACACGTTCGATGACCGCGGAGACGGCGAAGAACGCAAAGACGACGTATTAATTGGTTATTAACGCGCGCGACGTACCAGCAGCGGATGACGTTTCGGTGGCATAGTTTTATTATTATTTTTTTTTTCACAATATCGCGGTTATTATTATTATTATTGTCATTAACGCGGTTCACGTTACCTATGTATATTACATTATTATGCTTGTCGTGAGAAGAAAACGTCCGCGGCGGCGACATTAATATTACGACGTCAACACGTCGCCGCCCGTCGAGATAGTACAGCAACTATAATTATATGATACGCGCGAGTACGCGTATACAATTTTGATATCTATGTACTTTCAATACATATATAATATATATATATATATATAATATATTATTATATATATTGTAAAAAATGCATATTATTTATAATACGAATCACATCCGCTAATACAACACAGGACACACATAAGACACAACTATTTGGATTTTTTACTTTTCATTTGACTGACTTTTACTGGCTGATATTATGTTAATATGATAATACCTATTGTATATTATTACTTTTAAACTGTATTCAGATAATCATAACTGGTTTAGAGAAAAAATCTGTTTTTCTCGCCTCGGGCAGGCCGACGACAAAATATGTGTCGTAAAAAACTGTTATGCGCTCGGCATGATATTATAGCATACATTCCTACAGGTTGCATTTTATACTTAAACGGAGACTCGTGGGTTTTCCGAAATATTATAGTTTTACAGTTTTTATTTTTCTAGTGCTACTACATTGTCCTGAATAGTTGCAGATCCCCGAGATTTTTATACATAAATATAAAGATTATATTATAATGAATTGATCTAATTGATTGATAGGTATAGGAATAGTTTTTATATGTGTTTCCTATTTTATGCAAATCTAGTCATATATAATAATTATATTCGTTATATCGTTGACCGTTGGACCAAATTTACACTGATTTTCCATTCCGGCAATTCTTATGTCATATAAATATTATACAAATTTGGCACATAAATATGAAGGTATTACAGAGCTAAAACTGATAGTTAATTACAATTTGACTTGTATGTCCACTATATTGTAGCCATACGATTTAGGTATAGTTGCTTATATAAAATATTACAGCGAACCTCCATTACCGGTGTAAAGTGTAACGAGTTTTTTAATTATAATTCATAAAAGTATTTTATATTGTAATGTAGTGTATGGTAGTAATGTAATGTAGTGTACACTCATATTATTCAAATAGTTGAACTTCTAAGAGTAGATTCTTGATTCTTCACATAAATTCTGTACGAAAACTGTACTAATATTGTGAGATCGCTTAAATAAACACATATTATGTACATATATAATATTAAAATATAGTCACCACACCAACGGATAACATCGTCAAGTGTATAATAGTTAAAGTGTCTTATAAGTTTCATTTAGACCCCTAGCCAAAAGACTTCATCTCAATATATATATATATATATAGGTAGTACCTACCTATATATATGTTTGATAGTCGCGGTGTGCAGGTACCTATATATGATATCTCTATGATATAATATGACGCACTGCCGTCGCATGCCGCGATGCAAGACTGCAGTCTTACCATGGCTTAATTACATTCGCTCTGGGTGGCGGTCGGCGAAAGATCGGTAGGTATAAAAAAATTAACATTTTATTTTTTTATAAAAAAAAAAAAACCACCGCCGCTACCACCGCGTAAATCTTCCATCGCGCTATCGCATTTCTCGTAATCCAATACCACGCACGTTATATGGGTCACGAGATAAAATTTATATTATATTATAATATTATATATACCTATACCGAAATCCGCGTAATAACACGTTTCGTATACACATATTATATTATTATTATAATACACATATAGCATGATGGCAGTATACGACGAGCGATTCACCGCGGATGCTAATGTAGTTTTCCATTACTCTCGCGGGCCCGTGATCCGAATATATGCGCATGTGTGTGTGCGCGAGCGTGAATGTTAACCGTTCGTGTCCGCGTACGTGATCCAATATAATATATAATACGAATTCGCTGCCGTTGATGGTGCTGTTGCTGCTCATTACATTATACGCATCATATATTATACTATATGCTATCGGTCGCCATCACGCGGTAGTAAAAAAAATAATAATAAATAAATAAAAAATGCCAGCAGTACCTATACGTAAAGTATAGGTACCTATATATATATATAACGTGCGTGATATGCGGCAGGCCGGTATAATATGTACGTAAGACTTAAAGCTAATTGATGTTGACGGGGCCCCATCGGGTTTCATTTATTTTTTTTTCCAGCGGTTAGATTTATTGGCGTAAAACAGACTGACCGAGCCTAATCGACCAGCGCCGTCAACATTAAAAGTATGTACTCTGTACTGTATACATGTATAATATACTGTATCTACCTCTACGTATATATCTGCCGAATACAATATTTTGTCGCTAAACCGTATTAATGTGATTTGTGGCCCTGCGCAATGTTTATAATCATAATTAATAACTATACTTTGTATATACACCTATATAATATAATATATATCCACGGTCTACAATACTCGTATTTTCTCTGCAGTCGAACCACGTCTATATACGCGGTTAATAGTTACACGCTGTATATATACTATATTATATTGTATATATGGTATGGTGGTCGGAAAATCAATTACCACTCGAAGACCGCAATGCGGAAGATCCCGCAATGCATGGTACAATATAATATATGTATAAGTACACCTTATGGGTGGCGTGTATCTGCAACTGCAGTTATACGACTATATATGTACGTATTGTATATTATATAAATATTTTTATAACTGCTGCAGCATCACGCGAACTGGAACGAAACTATAGGTTATAGTTGATTAGTGATGGGCACGATAATTGATCGATAACAATATAAATCTATAATATATATCTAAATAGCGACGAATGAAGTATGATGGTATATAGGTATAATAAGCGTGTATAGTGGATAAATAATTGTATCACTGTAGTATTATATAATATATATATGTATAGGTAGCTCTTAAAAGTAAACGTTTTAAAATATATATATTGGTACTGTAAGCGAAAACGGACGACTTTCTTTAAAACACAACTGCAGGCACAATATAATATATACATATGTACCTATACCTATGTATGTACCATGTATAGGTACAACACACGTTTTTCTCCGATAACGATCGTAAATTTACGTTCTGCGCACGCGCGTATACTTGTGTGTGTGTGTATTTTTTTTTTGTTTTAATTAAAGATATATCATTGAGAAATTATAATTAATCATTTAATACCTACATATTCCTATTATGTGATCGTACAGGACGATAAAAGAAAAATATTTACACAATCATCGCACACGTTATTATTGCTCGTCATATGTATACCTATTATCTGTAAACGGTTAATGACACATATAGGTAATGATAATAATGTAAAATTATTTTGTTTTTGATATCGGTTTTCAATCAACGGCGCATAAATATTATTAAGACAACATCTTTCGTTCGTTTAAGGTAATGCGTAGATACGTCATGGTTCCCAAGGCCGTGATCGAACCAAATGTTTATTCCAAGATACGAAATATTTCGAGGGGCGACCGGTCACCGGTGTCATTTTTTTTCGTTACTGCGGGGTACATATATATATTTAATATGTAATTACTGTTATGTAACGTGACAAGACGTGTTAGAATATTCGTTTTACGTTATAGTACCTATTACATGTATAACGCATAGTCCAGTTTTAAGCTGCACCTGTTATAAAAGGGAGAGGTGCTGGAGACTTTAACGCCCGCAACGCTGGACTATTGCAGAATTAAAAAGCACTGTTAAAATTTATAATAATTAAGTATTTAATTTTTTTTGTAATTTTACAGAATACATTAAATTCCACAAAATAAAAATTAAGTTTGTGATGAATGCTGATATATAATACAACACTGCAGTGAGAAGAATTTTTAGATCGTTTAAATGCATATAGGTATAATAAATATAATGTAAATGGTTATAAAAAAACGTACACTTACCCAATCGGAAATTCACAACAGGCACAATACAGCGCCAGTACTGGCAACTACTGGAGCGCTACTGGCAGCCAGTGTTGGCACCAGCACTGTCATATGTCTGGGATGATAACGCTTTACCAGTACTGGCATTCGTACTGACCAAGTACTGACATTCCGGTACTGGCCAAGTACTGACATTCCAGTACTGACTAAGTACCGACCAGTCAATACTGGTGAAGTACTGAAAGTTAGTGATGGAACCAGTACTGGCATTCCAGCACTGGTCAAGTACTGATAGTAATACTGGCATTCTACTGGCTGCCAGTACTGTCATATAACTGGAATGCTACACCTTACCAATACAGCCAAAGTACTGGCTAAGAACAGATAATAATAACATTTAGCACTGTTATAACACTGCCAATTACTAATAGTACAGTACTAACCACCAGGCCCATATAGTACGGCATTGTCTTCCCCCAAAACTTGATTTCCTCCTCCTAATCATGTGGTCTGGTTACAGATACAAATCTGGTAGGTTACTATTGGTATTCTACACATATACATTTATCTGATGTATTCTCTACATTGAGTAAAGGGGGGCAAGTTTATGAAAATAATTTACTTTGGTAAATTTATAGTTAAGTTAAGTTAACATATAGAAAGTTAAGCTATACCTTAATATTTTCCAAATATAATATTTAACTCTAAAATGAGAAGTTTAAAATGAAAATAAATATTAACTGAACTAGGTTAAAAAAAGTTTATTTATTTATTTTTAATTACCACCAGGGTCACACATAGTTTAGTAGTGTAGTATAATAACTAAATATTTTGTCAAATTGCATCCTACCCAATCCCATATTATTACACATTAGCTCTAGTGATTTAATTATTAATTCAGTTAATTAGCTTAAATTATAGCGTATAGGTACATATTATGATGTTAACTATACATGTTTTTAAAATTAACTGGAAAAAGCCAAGTTGTTACCATGGATTATTTAAATAGTTAAGTTATTAAGTGATTAGAAAATTAACTAACTAGTAAATTTAAAATTTAAAAAATTACCTTTTTAATAAATTAATGCCCACCTTTGTGGTAAGATCATTATACTGCCTATAATGTACTCCTAGTAAATGCTGTTATAGAACAGACTATAGTGAAATATAGTTGGCAAAATACTTGTAAATGTAAATAGTTTTTACTATTCCAACTGATACTTTATAGAAGTAGTTTTCAAACTTTTATTATACACGGCACACCATACACTTCAAAACATTTTCACGGCACACTGACCTTTGAAATAAAACTTTAGAATTAGATGAATAAAATGAATTTTCTTATATCACAATTTAATGCAATCGGTAATGTATGGAAATACTGCGGTCCAATTAGTGGATATTCGCGGTACCCAGTTTGAAAACTATTGCTTTATAGCCTCATGATGATTGTCTAACCTAAATCTCATCCCAGTATCCCACATTATTAGAAAAGTTATTTGTAACTGTAAAATACTCTTTTATTGTTAATTAGCATTATGAATATAAAATTAATACATAATATATTAAAGTTAACTGGGTATAATACTATAATACTATATTAAGTTGTAGATGGTTTTTTATTGGCCATTCTTTCTTTTTTTCCTCCATCCCTGTCTTTTGCTCCAGAAAACCAACGACTAAGTATACTTGAAAACTCCTTTTCTCTTACTTCTGGATATTTGTTGGCAAGCACTTCTAGAAACATAAATTGAGTTGTTTATCAAAAAGAAAACGAATAACCATTAGAAAAGTTATAACTTAAGTGATGATACCTCAACTATTATAAACCTAACTTAACTTACCTAGTAAATACTTGTAGGTGTTTGTCTCTGAAAAGTTTAACTTTTTTACGCCATTGGTCTCCCTACCGAATGCACTGTACATAACCTGAACGTCCTTGGTCATTATTTTAGGGATAACTGTAGTCAAATTCTCAGAAATTTTTACCATCCCTCTGATATTGATGACCATGAAACATTTCTAAAAGTGTTCATAACATAAATGTAAATACTGTTTTATACTCAGAAGTAAAAATATACTCACCAAATTTTTTATTAAATCAAAATCATTGTTGAGTTGATCATCAAAATCTTTAAATTTGACCAATGTCGTTTTTGGCAAATCAATCAATGCATCTTTTAATATTTTATTTAGGTCAGCAGAACTACTTGTTGTTGCTAATAATGTTCTTGTTATTTTTGCCTCTTCTTTAATGCGATATTCAATACTCCGTCTAAGTGATTCTATGTCAGATTTGGACACCGGTAAATCCTCATCTTAAATTGATAGTATATGAAACAAATTTATAATTTTATATTATTTATGAATTGTGAGTTTATGAAATTAAGTATAAAAATAGTTTTAAAATACTAAAATGGTAATGTATTATTTATTTATACCTGAACGACCGCATGCCGAACAATATTTTCTTCTTATTTCTGGTGTAGTATGTGAATATTCAACTGTAACACAATGTTTTTAAATGAGCGAGTATTAAAAAAAACTTCTAAAATTTGGGGGCAAAAACTTAATATTTAAAAAGTTTAGAAAATTATGATTTAATTAATTTTATAGTTGTTGGATTCAATTCGTATTTTAAAAGACATGTGCATAATATTAATTTTTATTGTAAATACTTACTAATAGATTTACCAGCTGATTGGGAGGCTGATGCATTAGTCTGTAAATAATCTGCATCTGAAATAGTATAATAAAACATTTCAAATACATTTCAAAAAACACAATTTAATCAAAGAAATTACCATTTATTGTTGTTTTTTTTTCATTGGCTGTAATTTTGGATGTTTTAAAAGAAGAAGAGTTTTTTGAGTGTACTAACATTTTTTTCGGTTTACTTGACACCACTACAGAGGCCTCAGATGATTCTGATGTTGACATTTCAGACTGTGAATGACTAGTTTCTGAAATAATATAATAAAACAAAATTTCAAATAAATTTTGAAAAGAAAAATTTAATCAAAGAAATTACCATTTATTGTTTTTTTCAATCTTTTAAAAGAGGAAGAGTTTTTTGTATGCACTAATTTTTTTTTCTGTCTTTTGGACACTACAGAGGCAACAGATGATTCTGATGTTGACACAGAAAACACTGAAGCATCATTACCTGTAATAATTAACATTAACATATTAAACCTAACTTTTTGATAGTAAAATATTTATTTTTATTTACATAATTAAATTGAAATAATTACCTTTGACTTTATGAATATCATTTGTAGAATATGAGTTACTAAAAGAAGGGATGTCTTTTAGAGACATTCCAAGCTCGTCTTCGCTTAGTTTTTTTGGATCGCTTTCACCTTCAGAACTGTTTTCTTCTTCAATGGTACTACTCTGTATGACCGTATCAGAAAATGATTTTTTCATATACTTCACACCCTTATCATAATTCCCTGAAATGTATAACCTTAATAAATAAAAATATATTGTACCTATATGCTTATATTATAATATATAATCATTTTTTCTGTGCTAGTATTTATTTATGTGCATTATTGGGTACCTATTTAATACAGTTGAAATACTTACGGGCTTCTTTTATTAGTGTAATTTCAAAGCTCTTCCACGATAACTTGTAAATGGATGACATTTTTACCATTTGGTCAATTTTCTTATATTCGTTTTTATTAGGATATTTGCAGTACATTTTATCATCTTCAATATAAGTCCATGATATAGGTATTAAGTCAATGGTTGTTTTTTCAAATTTTCTTATTTTATTAAATTGTATTAAAACATGGGTTGTTTCTTTTTTAAAGTCCATGTCTGTAACAATGCAATGTTCATATTGTTATGTTATAATGTATATATGTATATTTACAGTAAGCTTAGTTTGTTATTATTTAAAAATTAAAAGATTGTTATGAGTTATGAAGTAATGTCACTGCATAACTATGACTCCCATTTTCAAAGAGAACACATTTTTTAAAAATATTATCAATTGAAATAATTCTTTTTCTATTAGATAATCTACCCAATTTCATAATTCCAACTTTTGTAGATTTGCAAGGGAACTTAAAAGCGTCAGTGACAGTCTTGTACGCATATCCATGTAAATAAATACTATTTCGTTTTCTTTGAATTCTTGTAATGCTAAAAACCTTACCAGAATCCAATTTTACAATATTGTTGGGTTTAGTTGTATTCAACTCAAACCCACGTAGAATTATGCTTTTTAAATAATTTTTGCTTTTATGAGTAACGTCAGGGTTAACTATTAGGCACTTTTTCTTGTGTATAGCATTTTTCATCATCATCTGTGGACATGCCTTTTGCTCAGAGACTCTTCTAACTAATTGTGCTAAAGGCTTATTTCTACCACCAATCATTCGTTTGATTTTTCCAAGAAAATTTTCAAAAGGAAATGCTGATATTGCAGATAGAGGCATATTAGTGTATTCTACATCATCTGCTATATGAATCAAATTATGGCTGTTCATAATTTGTGAATCAGATCCATAAAAAGAAGGTAGAAGTTCAAAAAATTTTTTGAGTAAGTCCCTAGCATAATTTATATTCTCTACGCATAATTCAGGATCATTTAAAATTCTACAAGCAACTACCAACAGTAAAAAATGATGGTACATTTTTTTGTTAACAATTTTACGTAGTACCAGAGCCCCACAGTAGTTTAAAAAAAATCTAAACTGTGTGGCTTTCCAGTGAGCAAATGAATCTAAATCCAATTTTTTCCTTTGGAATTCTTTGGATATATGTCTTGTAAATATGTTTAAAATTGAATTGAAATGCTTTATTTTGTTTTGAGAAAGTTTACATTTACGATTAACTCGCATTTTGGCACCAAGTAATTGCTGTAAAATCCATTTTGTTATTCCAAGATAAAGTAAGTGCATTGAGTCCAAGAATACAGAATTTACTGGGTTAAAGTCTGGAATATCTAGCAGCAAAGCTCTTCCATCTAAATGGTGCTCACGTTGACGTTGTTTTATAAAACCTCGTTTTGTTCGAAGTCTTAAGTTTATGCTGGGATACACTCTTTTTTTATTTATTGTCTTGCCCCTTGTTTCACAACGCTCACATGAGTAAAATCCCCCATGCCCTTTACATTTCTTGATAAATGCTCTTGCAGGTGTATCGCAGGAAAATCCAATAACTTCTATTTTAAAAAATTTTTGGCCAATATTTAAACCATTTTTAACTAAAAAGCTTACTTCCTGGACAAAGTCTTTTAAAAAATCATTGACATT